TGGAATTAACATGAGAAGGATATCTATCGATTTATGATTGCACCAAAGAGCAAGTTGTTCGATAGACGGGAACGAGTTTAGCTGCAGTATAGGCTATGGCCTAGTGATGTGCTCAGCCTTCTGTTGATCAGCGCTGCAATGTTTTCACCTTTATAATCAAGCTGAATGTAGATTGGCTTTTTTTCCACTGTGATTTGTTTTACATTTTTGACTTCAGATCTTCCATACTTGTTGATGAACTTTTGAGGGTACCCATTGCTCTTCAATGTCTTTTCAAGAAACTCAAATTCTTCCTCTAATTTCTCTATAGAGCATAATCTCCTAGTCCTATAGTACAGAGTCTTGACTAGATCGCGTTTAAAGCTATTTGGACAGAATCTATTAAAATGTAAGTATTGTCCTTTCCATGTAGGCTTTCGATAAATTGACTTTTGAAGACTACCATGTTCTAGGCGTTCCATGGCAATGTCGAGGAAGTGAAACTTTCCATCACTTTCATGTTCCATAGTAAACTGAATATTGATGTGTGTGCATCATTGAATAATCTGAGTAAGTGTGAAGCATGACTTTCATTGTTGCACACTATAAATGTGTTAATGTTCAGAAATCTGACAATTAACATGTCTGACTGTACGCCTAGTGTAACTGGTTTCACAAGAGCAGTCAGAGTGATAGATACACATAGGTATTTTATCCTTAACTGGTGAACGTAAAAATTGACTCGTTCAGACGGGACAATGTACTTTTAATTTGATTCTTCAAGCGTCGAGTTATTACTTAACTGACGTTATCACCAAGGAATGGCAGTTTCAAGAATAAGGTTTTCTTCGGAGCTGTTAACATATAAATTTGCCTTAGAGTTAAATTCATATTTTATTTATTTATTTTTTTTGATTGAAAATGTCAATTAAAAGTTTTAGAAGAATATTCTTTTCGATAACTTCTTCATCAGGCTCTACACTTATGTGTCCATAATAATTAAAGAATTACTGTTATTAACAATACTGAAGTTTTAAATAACACTGAATCAATAATATTGATAGATTACAGTTCAAAAGCATCAGTGAGTTATAAAATGCATCAGTATAACACTAAAGTGAATATCAGATGCATTAAGAGAAACATTAGAGAATTAATGAATTTATAGGTTCTACAGCAGGCCAGGATAGGAATAGTGGCTAGACGTATTTCTTTCGCGCGCAGAGCTCCAGTTGTTTTAGGCGTGGCTTCTGCTTTTTGGAGTGTTCAGTATCTTAAAGGCTTTATATATATATACATATATGTATATATATATATATATATATATATATAATGCAGTTGTTAGTTATCACTAAGTAATCAATATCATCCATTTAAATCGATAAACAGCATGGGATTGTAAGAATTATTGAATTTATTTATTCCCTGACGGATAAAATAGCATGAAACTTAATTTCGTTTTTTCAAAAATATATACATTATGACGAAAATATTACATGATATTCTCGTAAGATTATGTAATATTGTGTTCTGTCTGTCTTTCTCTAGCTTAAAAGACAAAAGCCTTTGTGAACAAAAATAATATATATATATATTTTGAGACAAACATTATGTTGTCAACGCGCTATAGAGTCATTTTGTCGTTTAGATTATTTGATATGGATTAATTTAATTTAATAAATTTCGTGACAAACCAACATCAGATAGAGACGTCATTGAAGACCAGGGAACACTGGATACGTGAATCGTCCTATTTTGGGACTTTTCGTCTTCAGTGTGAACCCAAAACCCCATTATGTATCGAACTTGAGACCTTCAGGTTACGAGACCAAGATGACTGACAATTCAGCCATTTTGGCCAGCTTACTGATGACTATTGGATGGATTTCATGAATCTGCAGTTGGAAGTCATGACCAGTGGGCTTCAACGTGTCAAGTTGAAGTGGGTGGTCATCGGAGGCATTGGTTGTTGGCGGCTCTATATCACGAACTGGAAAAGTTAGAATCCACAGGTCACTAAAATCCAGCCCAAGTAGCTGAATAGTCAACCAGTTCTGTCTTGTAACCTGAATTTCCAGGTTCGGTCCTTGTTGGGGTCGTGGGTTGACATTGATGAAGAGGCCCAAGATAGGACGAAACATCCGCCCAGTTCCTTTTGTTGTTGTTTAGAAATGAGATGTCGAGTATAAATAATGTTGTTTCAAACGCCATAGCATTATCCACTAAGCCACTGGGCCAAGACAGTAGCCAAATCTTGTACAACAGACAAAGCTATTATTTATTTTCGGATTAATTTCTATTCCGCGTTGACTGATTTTTGTATTGGAATAAAGTGCTTGGTCTTTGTTGACTGACCTCCTGTTACCCCCTAGTACGGCTGCTTCGACGATGTTCGAAGATTAACATGATGTTATCTAATGGTTGATGGTGGCTAGTTGTGGAAGTCAGACTGCGCAAAACCTTGACAAATCACATAGATGGTTCTCATGATCAAAGAATTGCGGCCTATAGAAATAGTTGAATGATACAGGAGATTAGAGAATAATTCAATGTACAAGAAATATAAATTTCGCTTTCTTATACAAATCAATTATTCTAAGATCAATTTAATGCGTCTTTTATGATGTTTGATTGTCTTGACTTACTGCTAGTGAAGACGTTTATAATAAAGTTGAATCGCCATCAGATACTGTATGTTTCAGCATAGACTTTATCATGAATCGACATTAGTTAACGAATCCTAGTCTAGATCTCTTCATCAATGTGCAGGTGTGAGCCTACCAGTTATCAATATCTAATTTAAGCATGCTTATTGATGGGATCAATGGTTAGTAGCGTTATAACGCCAACGGACAGGAGTTAAAAACCCTTGTGACGTAGAGGAGGAAATGAAACCTTATGGTCCATTCAAGGAACCAGTTAAAAAAGACTATGCAGAACAGGGTGAAATGGCCATGTGCTGCCGAAACCCGTTTGTTCACTAGGAACCCACTGGACGAATAATAGTAAAAATACCCAGAACACGCTTTTGATTTATCAGATTATGAATCACACAAATTACTTATGAACTGGTAATGTCAACCGTCAGTGGTATAGCGGTAGGATGCTCGCCAACCACGCATGTAGTTTGGGGTTCGATCCTCGGGCGACTCACTCCTAAACTTCCCTAAGCCAGTGATAAGACCGGTAAAGAGGAGACCGGAGAGAGGCTAGCAACCCCAACTCGTAAAAATAAACGTCGCTTCTACTGAAACTCCAAAGCTTTAGCTTGAAGCTTAACGTTCCACTGGGAAAGTAAAGGAATAAAACAGTGCCGACCAGTTGCTAAGACTGGAGAAAGTGAGACAATATTCAGATGCCAGAGCCACTCTCTGGCTAATAGTCAAATGATATAATCAATGAGCCGTGTTTACACAAGCAAGAGGTCACCTAAGCACCTACAAGATTTCACCCGTCACAGAGTTAGAGGTGACAGTAGCTTAAGTGATCTCCTTTTGTTTAAGTTAGTTCCTGTTTTCCCCGTTGATTGATTGAACCGAAATGTTGGGCTTCTGTTGATATGACGGCTCGTAGTACAGATGCTGCAATGATGTCTGAGGATTATTACTGACGTTATTTCATGAATGGTGACTAACAATAGAATCCAGGATGCACGCACTGTTGCCTATTCGAAATCCCCAGCGAGTGACGGCGTTCCCGCTGAGGCTCTAATCCAGTACCTTCCATCTCAAACGCCAAAGCACTATCCACTAGACCACTTGGGCCACCAGAATTACCTCTTAGCTTTTGAAACGAAGGTTAATGAGTTCAAGTTTCAGTAGGAACACTATCACTCACTGGAAATGACAAGCACATCCAGATGACGAGTCCCGAATAGGACGAAATATTCACCCTGGACTCCATCGCTAGTCACCATCCACCAAATAACCATAAGTAATCACTTGTTGGCCAACCTAAAGAATAGAGACCATGGAGTACAAACGTACACCATTTGTTAAATTACAGAACCTGTCTTTATGAATGCTGTGCACGAATCGATGTGCGAATTTTGTCCTTATCTTGTTTTTAAGTACTGTTTGGACGCTGGTTTGATGGCATGTTATAATTAGGATTAGTATCAGGGTTGGAGTTAGGATTAAGGTCAGGTTTAAGGTAGGTATTAGGATTAGAGTGAGGATTAGGGTGTTTCACTATTATTATCGACATTTTCTTGTAAATAAATAAATGGGAGGAGAGTGTTTTGTTGTTGATAGCTATGAAACTTGAAAACTGATACCCTTCATTGTAATTGGGATGTAATTTACAGTTCTATCAGGGTAAAGTATTGTCTTTCACTTGTTTCATTATTATTATTATTATGTTAATTTTTCTCGTAAATGAACGGCTTTTTGATGTATAATATACACCAAGTTCTGTAATCCAATGAATATTAATTATTATTATGCGTTCAAGGTCACTGGTGCGTCCGCATTATGTGGTCGCTATTCTTTATTTTTACCTATTTATTTACCAAGAATTATTATACGTCAGTACATGAGTTGATTTTTGGTCTAAAAAACAAATTGAAAATGTACTAGTATGCCCTGATAACTGATAGCACAGGAAACTTTGAGATTGAGTGTTGTAAATATACATATGAATTAATGAATGCGACTCATAGATATTCAAATATCATATCAATCAATAATCCTAGTTTAGTTGTATATTTATTTTTATGAATTCAAACAAACAAAAAAATTGTTTACTTTATTCAGTATTTTTTTGAATTCTTTAATTAGACAGATGGTATTTTTGAGATTGTCAAACTGTAGTCACAATAATTCAGTGAGATATACAACAATAACAATATAAGAAAAGCAAATAACAACTCTGGCTTAACACCGACAACTGGGAAATCAATAATCAACTATCCATTATCACTCAAGGTCAAAGCCTACATTTTGTTTTAATGATTATGATGATAGAGTAGAGTCTGATAAACAAATTACTGTTCTCATGTTTTCTTTTTGTTTCTGTTTTAGGCCTGGATTTGTTCCAATCCAACTGGATGGTATCAAGTATATTGCTCCAGAACTTTTGCTTACAGTTGAAGAAGATATTATAAAGTTATGCGGAGAGACTTATGGTTGTTGTGGTGGGGGTGGTGGCAGTACCTCACAAATGCCAATCGAATGGAATGATGATACAGGCGAAACAACACCACCACCAACAACAACAACTCATCTCTATCCAGCAGTGAAATCAGAACAGACAAGTAAACAACCAATTCTAGGCTATATCATGAAATTATCAAATCCATCGTCTGAACTGCACATGACTGATAATAACACTGGTACACAGGATTCAGAGATATTTAAATCATGGCCTAATTTATTGTCGTCAGGGCGAAATCATCAATCAACCAGTCAACTGACTAAAAAGTCTATTTCATTGCCAAATTTATATACAACTCGTCAGAAACTAGAGGATTCACTTAAACTACCGTATAAATCAGTTAAATACATCTCGCTGCATAAAGCCAGTTTTATCAAGGCTATCCGACAGTTTTGTACAACATCGAAACAGTATAAAATTGTCGTGAAAACTATTTACATCCCTGTAACTGAATTCACTACCTCCACAGATATATTTGCATTTGGGTAAGATAAATTACAGAAAAAAGAAGAAATCGATAAATTTATTATTTTTTTATTTGTTAAAATACAAACTTATTACACATTATGGGCACTAAGAGATGCGTCACACAAAATCTCATAGACTGTGCAAAGGCTGGGATGACCAGACCAAAGGAAATGGTTGTCTTAAAGGGCCAACTCTCCCACTGTTCGGCTTGAAATATGATTCACAAGGTACAAGGAGCAGCCTTCTCATGGATTCCGGTGACCGAAATACTTTCATACGTCATTCAATCCTTTCTAATTCTGGAGACCATGTACACGACAGGGTTTTCCAGCACCCCTACGTGTGATCACAAGTCAGGTTGCCAACGCCAGACGTTCGCATTTGCAGCTTCACTTTTTTGAGGAACATCCCTGCCACACGAAGGAGGTGAATAGGACTTACCTGGGAGAGGTTATGAATGCGTGGCTGCGTGAGAGTATTTCAAGAGGAAGACAGATGTCTACTCACTTTAGGCCGTAACAAGTCGTTTATGGGGGGGTGAATACATAAATACAGTCTGATATCAGATGAAGGAAACATGGTTAGATGGAGAACTCTCCTATAGTTGTAACAACAGAAGACAAGGGCCAGGCAACAGAACCTTTATTAGGGAAAATCAACACATATTTATAGATTTTAATGTACATTATTGTAGATTATTGTTAGTAGAAAATTCAGTCTTCCGATTGGTTGTTTCTAAGAAAAGTTAACCTTGCATCTCTTTGTGGCTGTGTCAGATCATCCATATGCTAACTGTATCCCCCTACGCAAAGCCTTTGTTCTCGTTTTCTTACCACCAATATTGAGGACATAAACATTGACGTCAATTACTGTCTACCGACTTTGGCTAGCAGCCAGCTCTCACCACATAGTAACTTAGTTCTTATCAGCAGTGCTCAGCGTTGGCATCCGATTTGTGGAGTTCTTTCAGCAGGATGTGTAGCTTAATTCTGAATACATGCACTACAGAGTCATACATGTGAAGGATAGCCAGGAGTGGAGTTGTTTAGCGGTGAATTTGCAAACTGACTAATTTACACACATTTGCAATTCCCAAGTTAATTCACAACTCGTAATTTACACAGTCTGAGGTGAAGTTTCATCATAGTTTCCTTTGGGAATGGAAATTATTCAAATTGAGAATTTCTTTCAGTGTATTGAAAGTTCGATGATATTAGATAGTTGGAGGCAATCGGGAGGAAGCCTTGGACCTAGGTTTCGTGCTAGATTGGCACTCACCAGTCAGTAAGGCGTATCTGCAACCTTGAAGGAACTCATGTCCCACCTCCCTGAGATTCGAACCCACGTCACCCAGTGAGTTCTGCAGTCAGAGACGTTATCACTGAGCTATTCGGGCTCGTGATTGACTTCCTGTAGGACTGTAGTGGGTATTTTGATTGGACACTAGTAACTAGTGCGACATATCTATTCCTTTCTTTGGTGCAGACTGAATTCTATCAGTCAGGTTTGCAATGTGGCCACCATTCTAGGTAGCTCGCATTGGTTTGATGATATTAGATAGTAGGAGGCAATCGGCAGGAAGCCGATTGAAAATTCGCCTAAGTAGACAGCCAGGATTTAGGTGGTTTGAATACAGTCGGGTATCTTAGTTGAGTCAAACCACAAGCACACCACTGATGATATCGGCCCGAAATGTGTGAAACAACGGCCATCTAGTGTTTACATCACTTCGATCTGACAAGAAAACACTACTGGTTGGTGTGACTGGTGTCCATCTACTCATATCAACCAATCAGTAGTATATGGTGATTCTTACATACTCTGTAATTGTGAATCTTAACTAAACCTCTGTCTGATAACAGATGTTTACATCAGTATGAATACTGTCCAAGTACTAATTTTCAAGGATGTAGTGAAGCTGTGGCTAAAGTATTCATCTAGACGCTCGACTTCTAAGCACCGGGTCACGGGTTCGAATAACGGCCCACCTCTCGAGATTGTCATTAGCCCTTAACATAATGGGCGTGACTCACTGCTGACTACTTACATGGAAAAGTAAGTAGTTGTTGAGTTCTTGTCGTATCACATAAACTGAATAGGTATTATGTAATTCATTGAATTAAACGTATCAACTCTAATCACACGACTTTGACACGAGTTTTATAGTTTTCTTTGTTTTCTATTTGTCGTAGGGGTAGTGGAATTTTCCAGATGTCGGGGACAGGTGATGAATCATTCCTATTACATGTATTTGCAGGAGCTTTGTTTATCGAATCAACTGCAAATACATGTAATAGGAATGATTCATCACCTGTCCCCGACATCTGGAAAATTCCACTACCCCTACGACAAATAGGAGAAAACAAAGAAAACTATAAAACTCAAGTTTCAAAGTCGTATGATTTTAACTGATATGATTGTGAACAATAAATTTTGTTCGAAACGTCATCCAGTAAATAATACTGTTTTACTGTGTGATATATGTAATAAACAAACTAATATGGAATTACTTACTACCACAGTGCCCAAGTTTTACACATATATTAAACGTATCAACTGTATTTCTTCAGAGTGGCTTTAGATGCTAAGCAAGATAGCAACTACACTGCTCAAAGTAAGTAATCAGGTGTCCGCTTCTTAGCAGCCCTGCTATGCAAAAGTACGTCCACTCGTACAAAAAACAGGTGAAAACCAATCATATATATTTTTTCATCACATTGAGAAAAATATGAACGTACGAAAGGTGTTTGATGTTTAAAGCTCCTGGGATGATATTTACAGTCGCTGTTACTTATAAGTGTGTATAAATTTGATACAACAGTGAAATATTATTCCATGTTAGTTTATCGGATATATCACACCTTTGAAACAGTATTACCTACTGAATGACTAAGTTTCAAACACAATTCATTGTTCATAATCGTGTCAGTTTTAAATACAGGACTTCGAAACTCGGTTTTTATTGTTCTCTCTTCCTATTTGTCGTAAGGGTGGTAGAATTAGCCAGATGTCTGGGACAGGTGTTGAAGGAATTCTGTTTCACATATTCTCAGCTGATTTATCGAATAAAGCTTTAGTTATATTATTTATATAAGATTTTATGACTGTTACTCGCTCAGCCTGTTGTATGTTCGTGTTTAACTGTGTGCAGTGTTGTGTTGTAGCTGAGTTTTTTCTTAGGTCTCTTGTCTTACTAGCGTCATCTAATCTAGATTTCAGTGCGTCGGTGGCATAGTGGTTAGGACGGTCGCCGACCATGCACATGGTCCGGGGTTCGATCCCCGGCCGACACCGCACTCCTTTACCTCGCTAAACCAGAAATAATGCTGGTAAAGAGGAAAGGTTGGGCATGAGGCTAGCAACCCCATCCTGTAAAAATAAACACTGCTACAGAAATTTCAAGCCACCAGCTTGAAGTCCTATGTTCTACTGGGAACGTGAAGGAAAAAAGATCTAGATTTCGCCAGATATTTGTACTCAACGATTCTAATTGATCATGGGCTGCTACCTTGACCTATGTTCTTAGCCTGCTAATCATTGCGGGGCTTTAGACAGGCTGATTTAGATTGTTTAATGGGTTCCACAGGATCCTTCAGCTGACATAATTTGTTTCTAAGTGTGTATGTGTGTGTGCGTGGGTTTGAATGCCACTTTAATTCATGACTTGCTAAGAATCTTACATTAGATTTTATATGTTCCCTCTTTGTATGGAATTTCATTTCTTCATATTACAGCATTTCATAAATGAAATATCACGTATTTAACTCTATCAATCAACATAATACCCTACATAGGTGTGCATTGATTGAATAGCCTATATGAAATCGGCACATACAAAGTATAAAGAAATGCAGATGAAATAGCAAGAAGATGTGATTTTTCTCAAAGCTTATTTTAATAGAAAAGACGTCGTTTGGACTATAGTGTCAAATCCCACTGGGTTTACCAAATTACACGTATGCGTAATCATAAACATATATGGAGAACCCATCCATTTCTTCAGATTAACGCTAAATAACACCTTTCTAAGTGGTTACAAGAACAATTAAAATCAGCTAACTCAAGGGAGCCTGAAAATATGCACACCCACCGTTGGGATCCATCTCACAACACGTTATACAGATGTGTCTTAAAGTTAACTTTATCAGTGTTTTCACACTCATATATAAACCAGGTCTTGGCCAAATAATCAAACTTGTCAAAACCATGGCCATCAATAGGCTTAAATCTTTTTGATATGTGTAAAATCGATTTGGAGAGAAAACACTTAAATTCATGAATAATCCTCATCCAGACATTAATGAAAACGGAGCACGTGTTTCAGCGAATTCATTCACTTAGCTGAACAGTGGCATTTATATATACTTATCTTAGTACGTCTGTGTACATTAGGTTTGTCCGATATGAATGAAAATAAGTTAGGTTTATTATTGTCAAGACATTTCAAAAATGTGATGAGTAATCAAAATGTAACTAGGGTAGAGGGTGAAGATTGGTAAGAGGGTAGTAGTGGTGTGTTGTCATAAAAACATAGATATGAGTGTTAGTCAACATATAAAAGAAGTTGAATAAGCGTAATTATTATTACTATCTCCTTTAGTTCTTAAAGGAACATAGGACTTCAGCCGCACGTCTCTATTGCGTTCGGTTCTCTGCCAACGTTTTCACCTGGCTCCATATATGCCCACATTCTTTCATCTACTCTTCACATGAACTCATTCATGTCACCCTCCAACTGATGACCAACTCTCCGCTTCCCATTCGGGTTCCATTCGAGCGATGGCCTGACGTGTGATATCACTTGATGGATTTCTCAGAGTATGGTCAATCCACTTCCATTTCTTCCTACATATTACTTGCACAATTGGTTCCTGCTGGGTTGGTTCGCTCTCATAGATCCCTCTCTGCTGTTGATCTTTTCTGGCCGATCATCTGATCTTGAGCAAAGCATTGAGCGAAGACAGCTGTTATATGAAGGTGTGTAGTTTGTTCGAAGTGCCCTTCGTGACGCGGTGCC